TTTGACTGCCGTTCCAGTGCACTTTCACGGGTTACAGGTTGTGAAAACACGAGTTACGGGTTGCCTGGAACGCACCATCAGTATACTGAGGGTTAATGACGATCACCTGGGGACACTCGTTAGTCTGTTCCAAAGTGTGTTCACTGAATGATAGGGAGGACTCTTGCCTTGCCTCTGCAGGATCCTTCCTTGGGAGGACTCATCATTCCAAGAAAGAATCCTTGGGGGAAAACTTTGAGAAACACCAACTGTTAGCATGTTAGCACGCTAACGTTAGCATGTAGCTAAAAACACCTCAGTGCCAAAGCACAGTATCACAGATTTGTTCTCACATGGCTGCAGACTCCTGTTTTTGTTAAAGTGCTGATTGGATGAAATGACTTATTTGATGACATCACATCAGGCGTTTTTCACTTCACTGTAAAAATAAGCTTTAGCTGCAGTCCAGCCTGCAGCTCTGCTCTGCCACATGTGGCCTGCACGTGCACAAAGACACACAGCAGTTACTTCTTCTGCTGCCTTCATGCAGGAGAGCTTCAGACATCCATCATCTCTTCAGCAGAGCAGACAAAGAAGCGACAGTGGAGAGTCCTGACAGGCAGCGAGAGATACTGACTCTATCTCCCATCTATCACTGCCTGCAGTTTATATTCTCCAACAGGCCTTATCAAGCAGCTCCTCTGTTCAGGGTCTAATATATACTGTACTCTGCACGGAGGCCTGGACCCGAGTGGCACCACAGTGCTGTAAAACACACCCTCCTCTTGTTTGTCCTTGATCAGAATGAACCACAATGGAGTGAAGCCTGCATCTATTTAGCCAACAGCTGACAGTGGGAGAGGAGAGACGCTCTTTAGGGACGCTGCCAGTCTTCCAGTCTGTCGTGCTCCACGCCAGCCTCCCGCCCACAGTCTTGTCTGCAGCGCCAACCCTGTTAGCTCTGACAGCTGTTATCACAATAACTGAGATAAATCGATAACACAACAAACACACGCCGGCTCACACAGATGGACTCGTACACACCGACACGTTGTCCTGGCACCGCCAAGCCACACGTGAAAGTGTGCTCACACACACTTCGCTGATAAACACACGCCTCTGCTGCTGAAGGTTGCTACAGGGCTCAGATGATGTGTGCTGCAGGATCTAATTTCCCCATCAGAGAGATTAACTGGATTTAACAACAATGTGCTTATTGGTAAAACACTCAGGTCTCATCGCAGCACAAACACAGGAATTAGAAACACAATCTTTGTTCTCATTTGTCTACCTGCTGCTGCTTTGTATTCAAACATGGAGTCAAACACACAGAGGACTCTCACAGCTCTGATCTGAGCAGCGGTCAGAGTATTCAGACTGTTTGCATCTGTAACAGCAGCAGTAACACAGAGTAAATATACTCAGCTACACATAAAGATCCTGCAGTCAAATACTTTGCTCTACCAGCAGCATAAGGACGTTAAAACAGGCCCCAGTGCACGCTATCCTGCATGTAGTGTCTCGACACAAAAAGAGAATTCACACTGTAAAACATCAGCACAGAACACTGGAGCCAAAATGTGGGTTTTAATTTATAGCTGCAGTTTGTATGTGGGCAGTTACACTCCAGACCAGTAGGGGGCAACAGCAGGATCTCAGTGCTGCTCCCCCGCGATACTGCACAATATGATGCACCTAAAGTAAGTGTGCACTTAGTCACTCAACGTTTTGAGCATCTGTTGCCAGTTAATGTGGTGTCTACAGGAGTCACACACTAACATTTTATGTTTTTTGAGATCTTTTCAAGGTCACATTTAACCAAAGTCTGATTTTTGGAAAAAATATATTTTTTATTCGGCACTCTAACCCCCATCTCCCCCTCTGACACCAGCACATACAGCACTCTCCCATCCACACAGGTCAACAGTATGAAAGGAGTGAGTTAATCTACATGTTATCACGTAAGTCAGATTTGGAACATCAGAAATTGAAACTGAAGACCTTGACTTGTTTTGACAAAGAAAAAAAAACTGGATATTTGAAATTACATAAAATGTTTGTGGTGATTAAAACCTCAGAAATGCAAATTTAAGACTATCTGATGACTTTTAAAGCCTCATATTTATAGAACTGAATTGAAGACATTTAATGATGTGCAGATACCCTGATTAAACACTACAGGGTCAGTGTCACTGATGTATAATTGACATATGAGCAACATTTTTTGCAGCCGATAAATGTGGAGTTTTACTTCTATATAGAGTTAGATCAGAATGGGGGGCCAGATAAAACAACTTGAAAATACCTGGGGGGCCAACTGATTCTCACATCAAATGGGTTTATAAAATAAGAAATAAAGTGAGACAAATGCAACCATTTTTATCTTTTAATGAACTATTACTACGTGATGCCTGTCTGCAAACTGTATGATAGTCCTGTCATTGTGAGGTGAAGGGTGAAAATGTGAAGTGATCTTGCTCGATTAACCGTTATTGTGTAAAGGGCCACATATGGTATATTTTGAAAGTCAAGCCGAGGGCCGATTAAAATTGGTCTGCGGGCCAGCCTTTGGACATGCCTGAGTTAGATGCTTTAAGTTATGTATTGTATTTTATCTGCTTCTTTATATGCCATCCTTGTTGTATGAAACCAGAGCTGCTTTCACAATAAGAGCTTAATTTATGTAAACGGAGCACTTTAAATTACACAACACTCAACGGTTGGAAGAACCTGAGTAATTATATCCAGGTACAATTTGAGGTACTTTTCTTGAGCTTGTTCATGTGATATAAATATGATATTTTTACTTTTCATACTTTAGTAAAAGTGCTAAAGTCTGCTCAGCAAAATGTACTTGTATAAAACTTTGAACACAGGTCTTCTACATGTGTTTCAACATGGTGGTATTTTTGAGTTTTACTGAAGTAAGGGATCTGAAGTGATCTGACTGTAATAAACACACACACCCCGCCCCTCTCGCCTGCCCCACCCGCCCCCCCAGACTGACCTCTTCTTGATGAGGTCCAGCGCCGAGCCGATGAGGCCGTCCTTCATCTTGTAGATCTTGGCTCCGTAGCGAGACAGGTCCGTCCCCTCCAGCAGGAGCGCCGGGCAGCAGCTGGAGGGCCGGCCCCAGTTCTCCCTGCTGGGCGGGAAGGGAACCGACCCAGCTGGTTCCAGACTGCTCCTCCTGCGCCTGCTGCTCCCATCACCATCATCATCATCATCTCCTCCAGCAGTGGGGGCTTTCTCCTGGGCTGAGCTGGCCAGAGGCTGCAGGGGTGAACGTGGGGACGGGCCTGTGCGGATGGGGGAGTATGTGCTGGTGACGGAGGTGTAGACGGGACCTGCAGTGGTGTCACAGGGAGGTCTCTCTGAGGTCCCTCTGCTCATTCCTCCCTCCTCCTCCTCTGAGTGCTCTCTGTTTCCTCCACCAGAGGACGACTGAGGAACAGTCCGATCAGTCAGAGGTATTTCACTGTTTGATGTTCCTCTTTCTTCAGACACCTCAGCGTCACGTTTTCCAGACGCCACAGAACCCGCTGTGGCCTCTCTGCTCTGTTCTCCCTCCCTCTGCCTCATCCTCTTAAACTCCTCAAACGTAGGGATATGGAGGCGTCCCACAGGAGGTCTGCGGCGCTCCGATGCTGAATCTGTCCCACTCCCATTTCCTGCGATATTGTCTGTGGTGTAGGACACCTTCACCACCTTCGGGCTGGACGGGGAGCTGTGGAGAGCCAGGTTGGGGCTGCTGTTCTGCCGGCGGAGCTGTAAGCGCCTCAGCACCTCCTGCTTGATCTCCTCTGGGCTGGTGATGCGCATCGTGCACGGCGGCCTGGTCCCAGCAACTGTTGAATTCAGGTGATGCACACCCTCCCGTTTAATGGGTGCAGCTCCTGGGGTCACCTGAGGCCGCAAAGGGAGGGGCTTCAGAGGCTCAACTGATGACCTCGCACTCTGGAGGCGGAGTTTGTCCCTGAGGCCCTTCCTCGCGTCCCATTCGTCGACACCACCTGGAAGAAGCAGCTGAGGGAAGAGTGGGAGGTCCTTCCTGGGCAGCCCGTGACGCGGGTAAAACGCCAGGCTCTCTTGGTTGGGTACGAGTCCATGGGCCCCCAACACAGATCCATCTGGGGGCCCGTCATACCAGTGACTGGTGGAGGTGTAGCGTAAAATAAACTCACTGTCCATGGTCCTGTAGGGGGCAGCACTGAACGCACACAGGCCAGAGTCTGCCACAGTGTTCCAGGTCAGGTTCTCCATGCTCCTGTAAGGCCTGCTCACGTTGTTTCCTGTGTGGCTGCAGGAGCCCGGGGCCACCCCCTGACTCGGCCCCGCCCCCAGAGGGCCCTGCCTGCTGGAGCAGTACCTCAGCCCCAGGTTAGTGAGCAGGGTGCTGCTGTTACACCGGGCCATGAGCGGGAAGGGCGGCCCCTGGAGGCCCAGGTAGTGAGGGACGCCGGGTCTGTGTCGGGGGAACGTGGATAGGGGGTCAGGGGACAGGGGGAGGTCGGCGATGCAGGGCTCCATGTCGATGATGAGGTCGAGGGGGGAGGCGCAGCCAGCAGGAGAGCCGGCGGAGGCTGCGGCGGAGGAGGTGGAGGGGTAGTCACATGGTGGAGGAGGCTTTACGTCTGGCATGGCTGCGGACTGAGCGAGCCGCCCTCGGACACACTGTCAGCAGGTACGAAGATCTGCAGCCTGCAGGGACGAAGACAGAAGGTGGGATGATAAAATCAGAGATACAAAGACGACACAGACGTTCATGTAGACGAAAACTGAAACTCTGTTCACCCTGTGTCTGTGGGCCTGTCGTGTTCTGTCAGTGTCTGTATTAACTGTATACGTACAGAGAAAAGCTGAAACTCTGTCTTTAAGGCCTCGCCATCACTTTACATCCTCACTACCCATGTTTTATGTGTTTTCCCCAGGTGTCCATGGAGCCAGTGTTTCACATGAATCTCTGTATTGTATGAAAATAAACAGCAGGCTGTTAAAACCTGCTTTAGTTGAGCTGTAAAATCTGTGAACATCAAGTCTGCATCAATGTGTGTCCCAGACACCTTAGCAGGTGGTCTGACTGATCGAATCACAATGTGTCTTGGTGGTCGTTTACACTTGTATTTAGCGCTGTCCACCTGTGATGGGATCACCCAGGACACATGTCTTAACAGGGCCTGAGGTGATCAGGTTGTTCATCGTGGTCTGGCCCAAATTTGTGACCAAAATTTGAGAGAAATACGTCTTTCGTGTGCGTAAAAAAAAGCTCATCAATGTGTATGAATGTTTCAGCACCTTGTTGTATCGATGACACCAAGAATTAAAAAGAGGTCAGACCCGGTACTAGCAAGGTGTACCTAATAAAGTGACCGGTGAGTGCAATTTATCTGATTCTGAATCTGAGACACTGAAGCTGATCCAAAGTTTAAATAAAAAAAGCTCTGCTATGGAGAGCTGGGAAATGATCCAAATTACTTTGGATGGAATGATTTAGTGACGATCTGATCGTATCGTGTTACAGCTTTAAAACTCCAATCCTCTAAATTAATGCCTCCCAGATAACTGTAATTAAAACCTGACAAAATGACTCCACACCAAATAAAACTGGCTCAAACTTCACTGCATTAAATGTGATTATTTTATATGTATTCAGTGTGTATTCACTGAAATGTGAAACTCCACCTTCTCTCATCAGACTGTCTGTTAAACTGATATTACAGCTCAGCTATTTCAGCTTCTGTCACTGAATCCACAGCTGAGACTTTGTGCAGCGGCCTCGGCCATGTGACAGAGATTTGTCAGAGGTCTTCAGCCACGGGGACTCCACGCACATATCAGAATATTGGATAACCACGGCTCTGGACACAGAGACAGCGTCTCTGAAGCGCGGTTCCTTCACCAGAATAATCACATTCATTTGGTATAAATGGCTCCCTGTCTGCCCCCTCGGGCTCCTCTTTTTTCTTTCTCTGCAGCAAGAATAATAATAGAGGGATTATTGCCCTGCTTGTCAGGCTATTAAAACATGAGATTGAGAGACAGATACAGAGAGACAGACAGCGCAGGAAGGAGGGGAAAAAGGGACAAAGATGAGAGAGGAAATGAGTGTGACGCTGAGAGAAAGCAGTAAGCTGAAGGGACGGTAATGAAGATAACTGCTCGGCTGTCCGCTGGCGGCCAGCTCTGCTCTTTCCTTCTGACTAATCAGACAGCAGTTGTAGATTAGCCAGGAGACGGTACTGGGTGCACTGCAGCTCTTCCTCTCTGTCTGTAATAAGTACAAAAAGTGTGTCGGCCGCCCAACCCAAACGCCCATCATCCGTATCTCATATTCTGTCTACATGACAGTCTGCAGCGCGGCGTTACGCCTGTGATTATGACTGCGATTATGAAACAGGGACTCAGAGGGCTCATCCCCGATGCATTAGGTGAATAATAAAACCCAAATCATCTTTAGATTCAAACGCTCTCTGATGCCAAACCACGAACAGGCCGCCGCGCTCCTCTGCAGCTCTGCAGTAATACAAACATCTCCATTCCTCACATGTTCCTGATCAGAGTTCATCACTAACCTGCAACGTTACAAGAGCAGGCGCGTCCCCGCAAATCTCATTTGTTTATTAAATGGATGAAGCCTCAAAACAGAAACCACGGACGTTCATGTGTTGATCTAACGTGAAACACTGAGGACTGAAAAATCGCATGAAAAGAAAAGTCTCATTCATCATTCATTAGCACAGTGCAGCGAGAGAGGATTCACACACAGAACAAAGGAAACCTGGATTATTGGATGCTTCTCTTCACATACTGGGGCTGTGAAAACCGTTTGAGTCCTGTCAGTGTAAATGAAGCATGCGCCCTTTAAATGTGGGTCAGGCTACAGGTGCACCTGGCCAGTCATCAGAGCCTGATTGAACACATGTGAAGCCAACTGCCAGCAGCTCAGGTCATTACAAAGGCAAATCCAAAATGCAATGATTGCCATCTGTAAAGTGTCCTGCAACAGCTGCTTCAGGATCAGCACGGCTGATAGAACTTCTCCAAACCACCACCTTGGACATGACGATCTCTTATCATGGTGGTTTAAATGTGGACCACAGTTCACTCCAGTGTGAGCACAGATATTCACCCATCAGCCACCAGATTCAAACCACCGACAGGTGAAGTGAATAACATGTATGATCTCGTTAACGTGCAGTGTTCTGCTGGGAAACCAACAGTCACTGGTGCAGATCCAGTAACCCCCATCGTGACAACAGCACACTGATGCCATGTTTTTTAATGATCGCAACACAAAATAAAGACCAGCTCTGCTCTACAGGAACCAGTGAAGGGAAACAGGGAAGCTCGGAGCTCATCACCCATCCGGCAGCTAACGTCCGGGTGCTGGCGGCAGCATGAAGCCAAACACCGTTCATCTGCACACACTGTGATGACAGACAGCTTGTTGAATATCGGCGAAGTTTCCCCGGGCCCGTTGTCTTGTGTCTCGATCACCAGTGACGTGGTGGTTCACTTACACACTGTGATCTGTGTCGTTAGGTTTAACTTCTATCTTTATCTTTTAGCCAGACTCTGACATCCTGAATATATCCTTAAAACAGACCACCATAGAGGACTAAAACAGGACATCTGTTTGAGGTGCAGCTCAGCTCTTGTGAATCACTTCATTACCATGAACGCACTCAGTCATTCATTCTGACTCAGTCGCACATATGTGGCCCCGACAGATCCATTAATGCTTTGTTGGTTTTATCCTTTAACTGTCTCATATCCTTCATACTGCATGACACAGTTTGTGTAGCTATCATTTCATAATTGTGCTAGTATTCCTGTTCCTTTGATCGCTCCAACGTAACCTGGATAACTGGGAATTTAAAAGCTGATACAGCCAATGAGCGCAGAGCTCTGAGGATGTGGCATTTATAAATATATATTATGAATGGTTGTCTGTATCTGTGATAGTCTGGTGACCTGTCCAGGGTGAACCCCGCCTCTCGCCGAAAGTCAGCAGGGATAGGCTCCACCCCCCACGACCCCCAACAAGTGGTTGCGGAAAATGAATGAATGAATGATACATATGAAACGTACAAATGTAATACATCTGTGGTTTTCAGAAACGTACAATTCCACATGTTATTCTGGCGACTGGACATTATTACCTCTGCGCTGATGATGACCTCTGCGACCCAACAAGGTCAAAGCTGACTGGTGTGTAACGACACTTGTGTCCGACTAAGTTGTGTCTTTTAAAAAGCTTTTCCGTTGCTCTGTGCAGGATGAGTGATCACAGAAATAAAAACATTGCTCAGTTTTTTAACGTGACACAGTCTGAGCACTTGGCCTCGACATTTTTGTACATTTCCTGTCGTCCTGTTTGGCAGACACAATAGTCTGTGCGTGCGTGTGTGTGTGTGTGTGTCTGTGTGTCTGTGTGTGGCTCTGATTGGAGAGAAAACGCTGATATGTGGAATGTGGGTTTCATTAGCATGAGCGTGTGTGTGAGTAGCAGCAGCATGCTGCTCAGCACGCCTGAGCCTCTCTCTGGTTGAATTACTGCCAGTATAAAGGCTCTCTGGAGGTCCGCTCTCTCTCTGCTCCCTCTGTCACTGGAGCTAACTGAAGAATAACTCATCCCTACCAGCAGGACAGTAAATCAGCCACCATGTCCCAGCATGCACAGGGGCTGCTTTCTGTAGATATGATGGCGGAGTGCGTGACGAGGACAGCATCAAAATGAGGACATAAATCATTAATGTGATCAGATTCACTGTCAGAGAGACTCCATTATTAACAACACTCACAAATCTCCATCCTAACAAGTCAGTGTGGTTATTACTGAGCCCTTAAATCTGAAATAATGTGGCCAAAAGTAAGTGGACGCCTTTATGATGAACTGGAGCAGTGACTGTGAGCCTTATCGGCCAGCATCAGTGTCCCACCTCACTACTGCTGATGTGACTGAATGGGAGCAGATCCCTGCAGCCAGGTTTACACATCTGGTGGAACTACAAGAACAGAGGCTGTTACTGCAGCACATTAATGACCTAGGTTTTAGAGAGCGCTGTTCAACAATCAGGTTTCAGGTTTCTACTTTGGATCTGTACTGCCTTTGCTAAGAATTTAAAAACAATTCTAACAGTGGCCTCAGATTATTTCTCGTACAAATCAACGTGAAGACACTTCTAGAATAATGTTTCATTTTAATCTGCACATGAAACAACTGGAAATTTGTCACAGTAAAGGATGAAGTCTGAATCGACTGTGTCCCTGTGCAGTTAGTGATTGCATATATATATATTTTTTTCCTTTAAGGTGTCACAAACCTTAAAAGGTCGGAGGTCAGTAGCATAGAAGGATTTTTCCCCACGTAACAGCTCTGATACCACTCTCCCACCGCTGTGGGTCTTGAACCAGTTCTGTTGAAGATTCTTGGACTCCGGGTGAGATCCAGCGAACCAGCCTGTGTTTCTTCCAGTTGTGAGCAGAACCACTGCGCTCATTCAAGATGCTCCTGCGCCTGCACAGAATCAGTTACTGGTGATCACTGCAGAGTGCATGCAGTTAGGTTTTGTCTTGATGCCTACTTGCTCTGAAGTCACACACACACACACACATGGGCAACGATAACCTCACAAGATCGAGGCGGACGCAGTTTTTAGACCCAGGGCATGATGGGAAACACCTGGCTGTCACCTGGTCAAAGAGCTGATTGGCTCTGACCAAAGTTTCAACCACAAACATCACATTTTGTAGAAAATCCTAACTTTCTGTGTTACTGTAATATTCGACAACAGATTGTCGGCTGTTTGTGCAACAAAGGTTTAACCCCGTGTTGTTAAGAATCAGATGTGGTCGCCTACAGATGGATCTGACAAGACGGAAATATGTCTTTGACTTCCTGGTTATATTTTATGGCTGCTCAAAACTGTTCGACGTGAATGCAGCGTTCTGTCACTGCCTCTGACTGCTGCCACCACTCAACATTCATTCAATCATCACAAATGAAGCTATTGTAAAAACCGATGTGTCATCAACGAAGAGTTTTGCACAGCGCACAGTAGAAGCAAGATGGTGGATCATGAGCATTAGATTAGATTTTTTTTTTAAAACAAGCAGGGTCATAAGGACAGAGGGATGTTGTATGCTGTAAAGCCCTGTGAGGCAAATTGTGATTTATGATATTGGGCTTTATACATAAAATTGATTGATTGAAGCATCGACCAACTTTCAATGATAAGAGACAGTTTCTCATTTGTCTTCTCCATCCTCCCTGTCCAACCTGTAGAATATGACGCACACACTGAAGCTGTTGCGATTCGACTTCAGGTCAAAGACAACCTGCTATTTCTTTGTTCCAGCTGAGAAGTTTTCTGGTTTTAAACCAGTTTATTTTTGGCTGAAACGCTTCGAACGGTTAGAAATTACACAAACCAGAAGAAAACCACAGGGAGCTGAGTTGGGAACCAGAGAGTCACCAGGTCAAGTCACCGTCTGGACCAAATATACTGAACCCCCAACTGCTCGTAGCGCCTGTTCAAGTCTGATATCCCTCTATTAATGCATGTACAGGTCCTGTTTGTGTGTGTGTGTGTGTGTGTGTGTGTGTGTGTGTGTGTGTGTGTGTGTGCATGACAACAGAGTGAAAAATGTAATTTCCCCTCAGGGATTAATAAAGTGTATAAAAAAAATGGCACTGAAGTGTCTTTCTTCTTATAAAGCAACCTGTTTTTAATATTTCATTGAAACAAATCATCACTGAGGTCTCGTTCACTCAGATGTGACTGAGACTGAGCAGTAATAAAAGCAGCCTTCAAACATGTTTTAAAAATGTCTGTGTTAGAGTTTCTATGCAGCAGATCATCAACCCACTCGTCTCTACTGTGTAATTCTGTCTGTGATGTCATGAGTCACTGTGTGTCTCTCTGTGGCTGGGCAGAGGTTATCTAACAGCGAGCATCGTGTTGCAGAGATCAGGTTTGGAGGCGACTCCTCCTGTTGCAGCCAGCAGTTCCTGCAGCTGCTGGCAGCGCGCTGTCTCATCTTCTAAACTTACCCCATTTTAATCAAGCCTCTACGCTGCTGCTCTCCTCCTGCAGGTCATTGGATCAGATCCCAAAGTGCCCGACCTCCTCCTCTCTGCCTCCTCTCAGTGCAGCGATGTGTCTGGAGTTTCCTCACAGCCAGACAGACGTGGCCCGGAGCTACGAGGAAAGAGAGGAAGAAAGCGTATCAATCAATGAGCTGCTTTTTCTGGACATAACAACAAACTTAGGTGAACGCTCTGCCAAGAGGAGCTGCTGCTGCTCCTCACTCTGACACAGACACAGAGACCTGAGGCTTGAATAGCAGATGGATCCTGATACTGTAAAACAAACCGTGTCCTCCTTTCACAGATTCAATTAGATGTTGAGTCAATTACATAATTAGAGGAGAGAGTCGCAGGTTACACACAGCACGCCAGCAGCTTCCATACAATATGTTTGTGTGTGTGTGTGTGTGTGTGTGTGTGTGTGTGTGTGTGTGTGTGTGCATTCAATCAGTCGGAGGTGTCTTTAAAACAGCCTGCAGGTAATTATTCAGTTCTACGTTTCCTCTTCACAACAGATTTGCATAAAACGTATTTAATATAAAGATAATTACTGCAATTAAAATAAACAAAATAAAAAATAAATTGAAAAAATTAAACACTTGTTGTTGTTTTTTTAATAAATATAAAATAACAAATTAAAAATTAAATCAAATAAATCAAAATTAATGAAAAAGCTGTCCCACACAAAAAAACACAATTAAGCTCAATCATTTAAACTAAAAATAAAATAACTGAAAACTGTCTTTAATAAAATGTAATAAAAACAAAAAAATGAATTAAATCAGACTTTTGTAATTGTCAGATATATATGATAGAATAAATAAGATAAATATAAATAAAATTTAACTAAATTAAATCAATTAAAATTAGAATAATTAAAAAGTGATCCCTCTACAATCAAAAAAGTAACTTAACATGAATTAAAAACAAAATTTAACAAATGTCCCTGTCAAATAAAAAAATAGGAAAAAAGAAATAAATCTGGTGCGACATGTGTTTTGCGTCTGTCAAATAAACGATAAAATAGAATAAAAAAAATAAAATAAATTAGACGTTTATCCTTGTCGAATTAATAATGAATTAAATTAAATAACATAAAATAACATTAAAGTTTTACATGTGCCTGTCAAATAAACAATAAAATTGATTAGAATAAAATTACAATTAAAAAAATTATAAAAAATAATTAAAAATAATTAATTAATTACTTAAATTAGGCTTCTGTGATTGTCAAATATATAATGAAATAAATCACACAAAAACAAACTAAAATAAATAGAAATTAGAATTATTAAAAAGTCGTCTGAGGCAAAACAAAAACATACAAATGAAGTAACGACATAAATTAAATGTCAACTAAATGATAAAATAGAATTAAAAAATATAAATTAAATAATATAAATAAAATAAATTAGACATTTGTCTGTGTCAAATAAATAATAAAAACACATAAATTAAGCTGAAACATTTAAATTAAAAATAACTAAAAACTTAATAAAATAAAATACAGGTAATTAAAATACCATTACCAAACGATACACACACTGATGGACTGACAGCAACACATTCAAACCCAACCGGCCATCCTAACACACAACAGCACACATGAGTGTAATGTGGGCCAGCAGGAGTAAAACAAAAGACACTGAGCTCCAATTAAAGATAAACTCCGGCTGGGAAACGCAGCTCTGCAGGAACGATGAATAATCAGTTCACTTAAAAAAAACAAAACAAAACAAAACAATCCCCACCTCGTCTTTAAACACAGCTGCTCCACCACAACCAGAGACCAGAGACCAGCCTCCAGCACGTCAACACCGTCAGCCACACGATGAGAAAACCAAATGTTGTCATTCAGAGCTCAGGTCACATGGTCTGTGACGTTAACACCCCCCTCTCCTCCCCTCCTCCCCCCCGGGGGACGAAGAGTGCTGTGGCTGCATCATCCAAAGCTTTGACAAGTGGCTGACACTTAGAAATAACCAACCCCCCCCCACCCACCCACCCTCCACCTGCTCCTCCATCCCAGGAGTCCTGGATGACTGACAGGGTTTCCAATGGATCCTCCTCTCTTCCCGTACAGGCTCCTCCTGCAGACACCTGCAGTCCAACTCTCACATGTTGTTCGTCACCAGATCATCTGATTTAAAACAGATTTTAAATCCTGTGAATGATCTGCAGCTCCGCTCGGCACACTGGGAGACTTCTCCCCTCTCACAGAGTCACCCCGCTCTGACAATCCCACTGAAACTGATAGGCTTTCCACAGAGAGGATGAGGGATTGGTTATCGGCGCCGACTGAAGTGACCCATTTATTTATTTCATTTTTCTGCTCTTTTTATCCGCCGAGCGTTTAAATCACTGAGCCAATTCCCTGCCGTCCCAGCTTCACTCAGCCTCTGAAGTGTTTGTGAGCAGAGCATGCACACTGTCTTATTACTGATCCGTGTGTGTGTGTGTGTGTGTGTGTGTGTGTGTGTGTGTGTGTGTGTGTGTGTGTGCTGCCTTTTAGATCCTATGCAGCAGTAGAGGAGGTGATAATAGTGTGCTCCATGCTTTTTGACACCTCCAGTGTTCCCTGCAGACATAAAGCCTCACGCCTCCGTCTGTCTGGTCCAGCTGTGGTGTGTGTGTGTGTGTGTGTGTGTTTAATAGACTGTCTCTCAGCCTCACACGCCTCAGTCTCGTATCTCCTGAAAATGTCATCACTTCATCTTCATAAATGTAAATTATTTCAGTGGTTCCATGAAAACAGAAGTAAACATATTCAGCTGTCTGCATCCACAAACGTCCTGATCCACCGGGGGGGGGGGGGGGGGGGGGGGCAGACAGTGACTTAAAGCAGGCGGATCCAGCTGTGAGAAACCTCGCACAATAAGATAAACACAGGTTTTAAATTTACACTTCTCTGAATCCTCTATATCAAATATATCACCCATACTGGAATCAGACTCAGAGTGACTTCACTGATCCCCAGGAGGGAACTGGGATATGTTACAGTGACTCTTCTATAGAAGCACAGAGAATTATGAAGTATGTGAATGTGCATGACAAAATACAAACAAAAATAAAATACATATTTTTAAATAAAATGTTTTGTTTTGAGGTCACACTGACCTTTGACCTGTGTAGGGTTGCAACAGTATGAGATTTTCACAGTACGATAACCGCTTGTGTAAAAAGTCTCCTCTTAGAAAATGCGTTTGTTTTTCAATATCATAGATGAGCAAATGTACACGATATAATAACCGTCAACTTTTATATCACGGTGCTGCAACCCCAGACCTATGACCACCAAAATCTGATCGAGTCATTGTTGAGTCCAAGTGGACATTTGTGCCAAATTTGAAGATATTTTCTTGCAGCATTCTTGAGATATCGTGTTCACAAGCATGGGACAGACAGACGTACAGACAACCTGTAAACATAAAGCCTCCAGCCGAGGCTATCTGCGGTGCGGAGGCATAAAATAACCTCCCTGATCTCGACTTCTCTTGTGATTCCATCGCTGTTTTGCAGCTGACGATCACACATCAGATGTCAGAGCCCAGACAAACACAAACAATGATAAATATGCACAAATGAATGAATAAAATCAAAAAATGTTTTACTGAGGCACAGCAGCCCCGTCGCCAGCAGAAAATGAATTTGTTAAATTTGCACATTTCATATGAATCATATCAACAGTGACATAGTTTATGAGATGACGTTGACACCAGGAGGGGACGATGGTCCGTGTGACAGCTGATGATTGGGTTGGACACTGAAGACATAAATACAGAATATTACCAACGTAAAAATATGCCCAAAAATAATATTTCAAACTGCAGTTCAGCAACACATTATAAACCCTGAACAATAAAACCTAGTCAACTAGCAGACACTCAGCATTAGTCAGGACTCCTTCAGGTGGCACAGAGCTTTGAGTTAACAATATTTAAACCCCCTTAAAAGCAACATGGCATGAATGTGTTCACCTCCCACAGACGTGCAGTGTCTCAGCAGGAGTCTGAATCTGAAGCTGCGTGCCAGAAAGACAGGCTAACGTTAGCACAGCTGGAGGGCACGGCAGGAGTGTGGCAGACATGCCAGAGCTCGCTGTGAGGCCGAGACTGGAAAGGACACACAGTCAGACGAATGCATTTCAGTTATTTCTTCTGTTTGCCTCCGTTTATAACCTCTATCCACACCGGGTGAGGGTTTTTAAACTCAAAAATGGAGCCTTTGCAGAACGGTTACAGAACAGTGACACATTTACTTGAGGAAAGAAATATGCTGTATTTACAGAATTATGAGTAAAGCTTTTGTTTTTCTGCATTAAAGGTTCAGCATGCAACATTCAGAGCATTAATGTCAAGATGTAAAGATGCAGTAATGGCGCCCTGAGCAGAGAATGAAGTCCCTCTGTATGTGATGTGATCTGAGCTTCTCTGTGGTTTGTTGTGCTGACGAGCTCATCGCCACCACTTTGCTCTCATATGGCGGTAACTGCTAATATGAGGATGCCATCGATGCAGAATTGTAGCGCCAACCCTCAGGTTCCCACCTGATTAACACTGTTGGCACTTTTGCCATTGTTTGGCACTGTTTATGGAGTTAGCACCGTTAGCTGCTAGCCACCGACTCAGCCCCCTCAATGTTGAGAACCCTCGGCTATAAAAATTACCCTCTGCAAAAAGCTGTTTAACAAGAAAAAATATGTATATGTATAAATTCACAGGTAAAAATGAACTTCACAGGGGCGGGCAGTGGGTGGAAAGAAAAATCTGTTTTATATTTTTCAGAATAAAACGCAGTAAAAGATGTGCAGTATATGTGTAATACTTTGACAGTTCCTTTTATTTTGAAAGTCAGTGACACAAGTGTAACCTTTGACCCCGTGGTCCCCTGGCCAAAATGAAGTCTAAATTTGTAGCTTTATTTAGCCCCCTTAGCGACAAGCAATGCCAACATGGTTCGTACCAGTGGATGCCTTAGGTTGTCTTATTCCCCCAGACACCACTACCTTTGTGCTAGTTTAAAAATGAGTGCCCCACAGCCTTTTAAAGACATTAATGTCAGCCTCCAGTTATTTTGAGGAGCGGCACAGGTGGGACCAGCCTCCCCCCCACC